CCCCCCCGCGCTTGGCACACGGCTACTCATTTTTCTCACATGGTCAAAGTCCTCGAGGAGGATGATGGCATCGTTTTGCCGGGGGTTCTTGTCGGGGGCTCCGGAAACATCATGGACATGTCGGAGAGACGGCTCAGGAAGGGCGCGTCCCAGTTAGCATCCTTGGGAGAGCTGGTCGTAGACTCTGTCATCGCCTCGGTGCTAAAATAGGAAGATGTTTGTCATTAATTTATCATTTTTTCACGGCGGCGGCGGCGGCGGCGACAGCGGCGGTGGCGGGCGGGTTGGTTTAAAAAAACGACGAGAGGTTGTTGCTAACTACTAGTTGCGTAGATTGGAGTTGTGACGACCAAAATCCGACTGGTTGCTCCGTGGGCAATCTCTTTGAAAATTTTGGAAAATAATTTGTTGTTGCCGCCGTTCACGCTGCTGGAAGTTTTAATGCACCAGCCCAGTGAAGTTCTTCTACAAGGAGCAGCGTAGTGGCAAAAAAAACGACTCTTACAACTATTATATCATGAACAAGCCCACTGCTGCAGTGCAGCACATCTGAGATTGGCTGGTGTTGTGTAGGTTACACCGAAGCCCAAAGGATAACGAGAAGTTTTTCGATATGCATCACCTGCATGAGCTCTCAAAGCTTGACGACGAAGCATCGGCAAACATCTTGTTGCGAAAAACGCCGATATTCCCCGGCTGTGCTGAATTGCTTGCGGCGTCACCCCCAAGATCATGCGCAACTGGCGCAAAGGTCTGCCGGTGGTCCTGCGGCTCCTCCACCTCCTCCTTCTCCTCCTTCTCCTGCCCTTGGCCCCAAACCCACTTCGCGGGAACTGCCGCAGCTGCTCTGGTGGAAGCACCGGCACGCCCCGACTTTCGCGGCGCTTCCGAAGGCGCGTGGCTGCTTCGCCCCTGCGTGCTTACAGCAGCGGGAGGAACGTACGGGTACTCTGATCCAGAGCGCCCGACAGATGAGGTGGGCTCCGCCTTGCTGTTGAGCGTGAAGAACCGTTTCGAGAGAGGGGCGAAAAAATACCGCAATCGGTCAGGGTTCACGGCAGCACGAGCGTGGGATGGGTGGCGAGGTAGGGGACCAAAGCGGCAACGGGTTGGTGGGGCAAGAAAGAGATTACTGGAGATTCTCGGCAACAAAAAAAGTGCGCGAAAAGCAAGAGGCTGAAATCCGATCAGGTTCTTCTTGTCACTAGGCGCAAGTGTAAGACGTGAAAGGTGCGAGAGGGAAACGACAGGAAGGACCCACTGCTGCCCTTGCAACGGACACACGGTCTGCTCGTTACTGACGGTAGCCCTAGACCTACAAGCCACGAAAAAGGGGGCAGAAAAACCTGCTCCACAGGGGGAGCAATGTTCGATTGACCGTAGTCGCTCAGCGTACATGTTGCGACCCTGCAGGCAGAAAACGCGCACGACACCTTGGAACACCGAACTGCAACACACACACACACACTCACACGCAGGCTGAAGCTGCTGCTGGCATCCCCGCCCTCCGCATCCCGGCCCTGACCAGAGACGCCTGCAGGTCTTGGAAGGTGTTGGTGATACCCGCGGGCCTTGAGGTCCCTTTCAAGGCCGCCGACCTGCTGCTGCTGCTGCTATTGTGCGGTTTCGCCAAAAAGGTAGGTTCCATCTTGGGCACCCTGTGATGCATGAGCCCAGGCTATCTCCGTCGTGCTATAACGCTCACGGCGATGTGGCATGTACAACGGGCTTGCCACCAACAGACGTTAGAGTAGTAGGTGTGTGTGCGTGGGCTGCCGGTAGTGTAGGGGGTGGGGCGGTGGCCAGAACCCTAAACTAGTAGTTGGAAGTGAGCGGTTCCCAGGTAAACGCACGGGTGTAGGGGCGAATGTTTCCAGCCAGCGATTCACAAGATGAAGATGCGCATCTCCTTTTTTTTTTTTGGTGAGCATTAATATCTTGATGACGTCATGATGTCGCCAACGGACGCGTACTACGGCGGTGGAGCTTCTCGCTTTTGGGGAATTTCGCGGGTAGTTTGCGGGTTTTCGTGCAGGTACGCAGGTGTACCCTACGGATCCGCAGCAGTATCCACCAAGGGTGCAAGGCGAGGACCCTCCGAATATTGCTGCTGCAGAGCAGAGGAGCCGATTGGATCGGTAACAACAACAGCGTGACTGGTGCTATGCTCGTGAGGCTGTGGCCGTCGCGCGCACCTGCTGCGAACTCGCGCCGCCCTCTGTCAATCTGTTTGTTGTGGACTGTAAGGCCCCTTTTACAACAAACCACAACAAGCCTCTCGACGCATCTTACATTCGCCGTGTTGTCGTCATCATGTATTATGTGTGATATTTGTGCAAAATATGCGTGCTTGTACCCAGGTAAGGTCTGTTCTTTGTTCTGTTCCGCTACATGATGAAGAAGCCTCGGTCCGTTCACCGACATTGGCCGACATAACGACAGCGGCCCAAACATACCTTTTTTTTCTGTCTCTCCACAAATACGCTTTCAGACACAGCAGTCAGTTAGGACATAGTCTACCGAGGGAGCATGAGACAACAGAAAGCATTTTTCATCGCTTTTCGGCGTGCGGCCTTCGTTGGTTGTACAACTCATTTCGAAGCCGGAAATGTACATGATACGCGCGGTGGCGGTAGTGGGGAGGAGAGACTACGCTTGAACCGACTAGTCAAATCCTTGATCGAGAATGGTGTGGCTGTGGCCGGAATATATGCTACACAAACAAAGAGGTTTTACACTTGAATGAAGGCGCGTACATGAGTTGTTGTTGTTGTTGTTGTTGTTGTTGTTGTTGTTGTTGTTGTTGTTGTTGT